TCTGTTTGAAATGATTTTCCACATCCCCTTATCGACGCATCTCACATTCGTACCATTTTAATATAACGTTTTGTTCCTATTTAACGTTAAAATCTTTAGTCCGTTGACGGCTGACATTCCTTCTTCTGAATCATCCGCTGAGGAAGAAGACGGCAGAGCGAATCGTCGTAGAGCTCGACTCGGCGAACATGCCAAACTAGACATAGAGGTTTGTTTTTTATACACTCCTTAGCAACGTTTGTTTATGTAGAGTATGGCGCTAGCTGGCAATATCCGATAAAAGAAATTATCGAGCGATTGGTCTTAGGATTTCTGTCAACCGTGAGCCTTGGCGGTTCAGCGTTTTGTAGTGATGTCTGGGAGCTCTCACAAGTGCACACTATCACAGCATCTCCTCTTTCTTTATCTTCTTCAAAAGGCTTAGTCCCAATAAGACACAAAGTGTGTGCTTTTCCAGCTACGCTCTCACCCTTTGGTTGACAGAAGCCTTGTAACCGAGCGCATTAGGGTCTGATGTCGAGGAACTACAAGATTGTAGAAAAAATCGATGCACGTTGCGAATAATGGCAGTATTGATCGCTCCATTTGCTGATGCATGAGTGAGAACCCCCCTGCGGAACATGGTCAAATATTGCATATACGATACAGTTAGTATAAATGCATGTTCATTAGACAGCTTAATTGTCGGATAGGCCTCAGAGAGAGGAGCTCGATTATCGTGGTACAGGTCATACCATCAGGTAATTTTCGTTTGTGCGGTATTTCACAAAAAAGGTGTGGACCCTTCAAATATTACTTTTTGCGTTACTAGTCGACCTCGATGCCCGGTCAATCACCTCGTAACGCAGAACATAGTTCGAAGGGTAACCGTGCGTTGAGCAAAGTTTAAGTAAGAGGTGGTGTCAGAGTGTCCGCGATCCGATTTTCGCGATTTTTCGCGATTTGCGCGATTTTCGCGAAACCTGCGATGGATCACAGGAGTTGGAAGTGCCCGATGAATACTGCGAGGTGTTGTTTAATCCTGCTGCGAATTCTGCTTGGCAGTAAAGATTGGAAGACGAATGTTTGTGGTTCTACTTGTTTCATGTTCAATGTCTATTAGTTCATTGAAATGCTCTTGAATCGTTCCTATTTTGTTTTTTTTCAGGAATCAAACCAAACCAATCACAAAAATTGCAAGTGCCCCATTTGAACAATTGAAACACTGGATATGAAACAAGTGGAATCATGAGCAGTCTCCATTAAACCATAACCATCAAGCAGAAGTGACGGCGGGATTGGAGAACACCTTGCAGTATGGATGGGGCACTTGTAATTTCCGTGACCCGTCGCGCAAATCGCGAAAATCGCGAAAATCGCGAAAATCGCGAAAATCGCGAAAATCGCGACAATCGCGAAAATCGCGAAATCGCGACAATCGCGCGAAAATCGCGAAAATCGCGAAAATCGGGCGAAAAATCGCGAAGAATGCGCGAACATGCTGCGAAAATCGCGACATCGGAAAATCGCGCATAGAATCTGCATAAATCATGCGAAAATCGCCGCAAAAAATCGCGCGACTTCTGACACCCAGCCTTAACAGGAGGGAGAGACGTTTTTCAGATTTTTTGGAGGGATGTCTTTTTGGGTTGGTCTAATTTTCGGTAGGGTTCGTCAAGCATTACCTGATCTCATAATAAAATACTATACTAGAAATTGCCATGGTGGTGAGAATGGTGAAGAAATCTTACGCGAACCTTTCCAAGTGTGTGGTGGTGACGGTCATGTCAAGTCCTCTCAAGAAAGGTCCTGAAAATTCTGAAATGTGTTGCCCGAGGCCACGTTAGTTTCAAGTACATTCGCGACAAAGAGTCATTTTCTAGATGCGAAGGAACCGTATGTATTCATTCACTTCGTGTGGTCATTGCTTCTTGGGTTGAGAGGCGTTTCTAGAGTTGCCAGTTCTGTGGAAATTACTCAATTAAGTGCCAATTCGGTTTCTGCGGTATCAAGAAGATCTTATTTTTCCATTAGTAGTTCACGATCAGCAACACAGCTATAAGTATTTAGGTTGTACTCCATTACAATTAGTGTCGCCTTTTGTTCATGAACCAAATTTTCATCCAAAATCATATGCTCTTACATCATAGAGTCAGCCATACATTCGGAAAGAGAATTGACTGCTCGTACAAGACGTGGGTGTAATCTTTCTTCGATCTATGTTCGTGTGTGTGTGGTGTGTGGGCATGCGAAATGGGGGGTCCTGCGCGGACTTGTTCACCAAACCGACAACTAAGCCCTCTAACTTTATTGCCTTCTGCGGCAGGAATCAATGCAAATGATGTACCCTCCTATACTTACTCATGACCTCTTCTGAACATTCCACCCTTAGGTTGCCGAAAAAGGTTTGCCCTGTTTCTTTTCGAATTGGCCGACCGATAAGCCATGGCAATTTTCAAATTGAAATTCTTCCTCTGAAACGCTATTGTTTTATATCAACTGGTGTATCTTTTGTGAGCACTTCTTCTGCTTTATTCGCTCATTTGTTTTGTTTTGATGTTTGTTAGGAATTAGCTCGAATTTTAGGGTTTAGGAGTAAGGTGCTTTGTCCACAAAAGTGACCGCATTTCTTTGAAAGAAATTATCCTTGAGGAGATGAGAAAACCAACCAGGCGTACATTCCTAACTTAGTCACGACTTGTTCTTGAAATTCTAGTTTTTCAATGTCTCGGCTGTAAAAAAATTTCGACCTCGATCTCAGGTAATGGTGCTCGACCGTCGAGTTCTGGTTGAAAAACCAGGTCTGGAAATGGAATGACGCGACTTGTTGGGAAACCTAATAGTGTAATGTTTAGAAGAGGTCATGCATAAGTAGAGGGTACATCATTGATTGATTTCTCCCAAGGGAAGATAAAGTTAGAGATAGTTGTCGGTTTGGTCAATTTTTGTCGGCTGGACCTCCCATTTCGCAGGCCTAAAATTTGAAAACCATGGAATGTAGATGGAAGATGAACACAGGACGGCTCCGTAGAGGCAGACAATATCTCTTCGTAGATGCTATTATGACACGCTGTAAAGCATGGAAGGATCTTAGCATTGAAAAATTTTTGGGTTGAAAAAAAAGCGAGCACTACTTAGGCGAGATCAACCTTAATACAAAGCATTTTCACTTTGTTGAAAAGCAAGGAGCTGACGTATGAATTTTGGCTTGGTTTATATGGCTAAACCTATAATGACAACGTCATATACGCCAGCGGAAGATTAGCGTCTGCGAGGTTAAAAAGACTCAGCGAAAAAGGTTTAACTTTCGTATTGTAGCATCGGTAGAATTTTTTATAGCAACTGCACGCTTGATTTTGGACGTGTGATCACCACAACGATTGGTTGTCGTACAGATGGATAGACTGGGACGGTTCGGTCCTATTCTCCTTTTAATCTTACTTTCTTTTTAGTTAGTGTTTATTTATTTTTTATACGTATCTATTCTCTATTTACTATGCTTATATTTATTTTTTATTTTACATTGTTTTATTTTTTAAATTTTTTTAGTTACCTTTTCCAATTTAATTTTAATTGTGGGATTTTTTAGGGTAATAGATCCTGTAGATGCACGAGTAGACGGCGGTTTGCCAAGCGAACTTGTCAGTGAATGCCGCACATCTGCACATAGGAGAGATTCTCAAATTTGCGTCTATCTCTTTGAGAACGAGAACAAATGGTACGTTGCATTACTTTCGAAATGTTATGACCCTGCACATGCTTCGAGATGAGGGACAGTATTGACAAAGTTGATTGTGGAGTGGCTTAAGAGCTTACCTTCTGACGCTTGTGCGCGTATCTCTCCAATAGGTGTGGAACGCGCCCTAGTTGGGGTTTGTTTGACTTCTTTACCGCTTCAGGTTTATTAGTGGGTGAACCATGCTCTAAAGATTCTAGAGATAATTCAGAATGCTAGAGGATATTGTGAACCCTCTACCCATACCTTCCGTCTGGACCTGGATTAGTCACGGTTGAGCTTCGACACGCCAATTAGCTTTGTATCGAGCTTTCAGCTTCCTTGTGCAGTTGTCTTGTTGTCCATCAGAATATTAGATCTTCCTAGTCCTTCGAAAAATCAGTGAAATGTTTCTGTAGATAAATGACTGTGTCTGCGTGGTGTTACATTATACACAAAGTTTCTCATCTTCTATCATAAATCATTTAGGGGTTGGTATCCCTCGCGTGATGTCCGGTATCTGAATACGAACGGCGACAACATGTCTTCTTTATCGTCTTTTAAGCTAGCTATGAAGTGGTAAGTAAGTATCATGAGAATGATAACATCACTAAACTACACCTACAAAATGTCTTTTAGATTAAAAAGATTCAGAGATTGCTTGGTGTTTTTTTTAATAGAATGGAAATTCGAAAGTGTATGATGTTGTGAAATGTATGAGGGTTTTGTTATAATGGAGGCAGTGCAAGTGAGGACCATTTTTTACTTTAGGCATAAGAAAATGATCGACACGTATAGTAACAAAGAAGCATTGTAATCGATGACTCGAATCTCATCACTGCCAGTTTGCATTTTATGCGACCAAATCTCCACACATCCAGCTCGAAACTGGTTGCCGAATGTATTGCGGTGTATCCATGCGGTTATGTATTTTATGGAAATGAAGTGTGCGGTTTTATCGTTGTTGGTGTCTTACCATGTGGTCTACGCGGGGGTTAGCAAGCAGGAAAGGCTACCAAATTAATAGTCTGGACAGAGCATTGTTATCCTTTTAGTGTTCTGTGTTGTAGAAAGCCTCATAATGCCATGATCATTGTATTATATAATATAATATTGTTACTGGTCTCATAATAAAACGATTCACTGTTCTCTGTCCCGATGTTGTTCAATCATTTCTTATTCATAATGCGTACACAAATAGTGTTTTTGTTAGCCTATTGCCTGGAATGTCGGTAGCTAAGTGCTGGCCAATCACAGTTGAGAGTCCTGTATTCTTTATCGTGTAACATGTGCAAATTTATTGTTGAGTTGGAATTGCTTTATGTATAAAAAATTTCATTTTTGGTCCAGAAAGTCTGACTGCTATCCTCTTCACCGCTTGTCACGTTTATGTTCTTCTGCTTCTGCGTTGTGGCAGTAT